ATGCCACTGCTTCTGGGAGCTGCTTGAGGTAAGCACCGCCCAGAGCATGCACCCCCCGCCCCATGCCCCTGATCCCCCCTCTCCAACCCTCCTTGGTCCCAGCCTGGAGCACCCTCCTATGCCTCAAACCTCTCATCCCCAGCCCCACCCCCAGCCAGAGCCCTCACATCCCAACCCCCTGCTCCAGCCTGAAGCCCCCTCCTGCACCCTGAACCCCTCATTTCTGGCCCTACCCCAGAACCCGTACCCCCAGCCCAGAGCCTGTACCCCCTCCCACACCCCAACCCCTGCTCCAGCCTGGAGCCCCCTCCCACACCCTGAACCCCTCATTTCTAGCAACCTGCCTCTCCTGGGAAGCAAAGCGCAGAGCAAAGCAAACATAATTCTGCGATGTATCAGCAGGAGTATTGTAAGCAAGACACGAGAAGTAATTCTTCCGCTCTACTCCACGCTGATTAGGCCTCAAATGGATATTGTGTCCAGTTCTGGGTGCCACATTTCAGGAAAGATGTGGACAAATTGGAGAAAGTCCAGAGAAGAGCAACAAAAATGATTGAAGGTCTAGAAAACATGACCTATGAGGGAAGATTGAAAAAAATGGGTTTGTTTAGTCTGGAGAAGAGAAGACTGAGGGGGGACATGATAAGTTTTTAAGTACATAAAAGATTGTTACAAGGAGGAGGGAGAAAAATTGTTCTTCTTAACTTCTGAGGATAGAACAAGAAGCAATGGGTTTAAACTGCAGCAAGGGAAGTTTAGGTTGGACATTAGGAAAAACTTCCTAACTGCCAGGGTGGTTAGGCACTGGAATAAATTGCCTAGGGAGGTTGTGGGATCTCCATCATTGGGGACTTTTAAGAGCAAATTGGACAAACACCTGTCAGAGATGGTCTAGATAATACTTAGTCCTGCTTTGAGTGTAGGGCAAGGGTCTCCAAACTTTATGAGACGAGGGCTATATTAGATTTTTGAAGGGGCTTCGTGGGCCAAAGCGACGGTGAAAGAAATTAAATATATGCAAATATATGCAAAATCATTAAAAAACAACACTACTCTACTGTGTCAGTGTTGCATTAAATTCTAACTCAGATATAAAAGTTAATCGATGCAGGTACCGTGAAATCACAAAAAATATTTGTCAGTACATTAAAAATAATTTCACGTAATTGTTTTTATTTCTAAGAACTCACACATTGTATCATACAAATACTGTTTAGTTCTATTAGTGCTGTAGTTAAAATTTTAACCATTAGGAAATTGTCAATTTCCATCTTCTTTACTCCATTTATTGGAGATGTAATTAAGCATCTGGCTTGTATTTTTACTCTAAGGCAGGGGTCCGTGCCTGCTCGGCTGCAGCTGCAACTCTCCCCTAAAGTTGGCTCCCCTTTTGGGAGGGACGCTGGCTCCCAGGGGCACTCACCCCTCTGCACAGCTCAACTGTGCTTCCGCCCCACGGGAGCTGCTGCTGGCAGCCCCACCCCCTGCCTGCTGGACTGGTGCCTACTCAGCTGTTCGCTTCTCCCCTGTTGGTTGGAGGGCCGGACAAATGGAAGCCCAGGGCCAGATCCGGCCCGCGGGCCATAGTTTAGAGACCCTTGGTGTAGGGGACTGGACTAGATGACCTCTCGACGTCCCTTCCAGTCCTGTGATTCTATGAATATGAGAAGTCTTTAAAAAAGAAAAAAACCTGACTCCATTTCAAATTTTATCAAAATCGGTTGATAAATAAAGGAGATATGGGAAAAAGAAGATTCTCTCTAAATATAGACATTTTTGTTCAAATATGACAAAAATATACACATCTGGCTACACAAGCACCCTCACCCTTCACTAATTGTTCATTATTGACAGGCCAGAGACCAGGGCTGAGAAAAAAACTAAGTTTGATCAATTTCTGTCTAACCATATAAAACATCACGGAAGCAGTGGATGTGGGAAGCCTTCCTACTTGTCTAAAACAATATGGGATGACCTCATCCAGTTCATGGCTAAACAAGTGAGAGGCTCAATTTTGGATGACTTAAGAAAAGCAGGATATTTCAGTTTGTCTGTTGACTCTACACTAGATCTTTCACATGTAGTGGTGAAAATGTGGCCAACATGGTGCTGGATTATCTATGCAATGACTGCAAAGTTGACTTCAGTAACTTCAAATGTCCCGCCATGCCAGTAAAGTTTCATTCATTTCAACAGCTGATGGAGTTAAGGCTCCTGGTGCCTTGTCCAATCCATGCGCAGTATGCTAATACAGTGCCTGGCCACGCCCCTGGACTGTGACCGTGCAGTGCAGTCGCCTTCTGGTTGGCTGGCTGGCTCCCTCGCGCGCTTTTCCTTGCACTATCAATGGGGGAGGACACGCTGTGTGGGAAGTGGGGAGTTTGGGCTCCCCCCTCAGCTAATGCACAGAGAGGAGGAGATGGGCAGGGCCCTGCCTTGCAAGGGGTGCTGCAGCCATGGAGTCCCTGGGGGAGGTAAGCTGTGATCTTCCTACAGAGCAGTGCCCTGGGAAACTGACTTCCGTCCCAACCCCCTGCTCTGCAATGGGGACTGGGGCTCGGGTGGAGCTCAGCGGTTATTTGGAAGAT